TGTGTCTCAGTTTCCCTAGCTTTCAAATGAAGGGGTTGGACTAAATAACCCTCTGAGTTCCATTTGGCTCGAAATTTACAATCCATGACATTGGTCATCCAGGCTAGTATGCTTAACTATATCCCCTCCCACCTCCTTTCTCATATTGCCCCCACAATCACCTCCCCCCCTTTAATTTTCAATCTCTTCCTTTCTGCCGACTTGTCTCTTGCTGTTCAAAAACGTGCCCATGTCCCCCATCTTTAAAAAAATACCCGAGGCTATTATCCTAACTCTTTTCCTATTCATCACCAAACTCCTAGAAAAAGCTCTCCATACTCATTTGACTTCACTTCCTCTCCCCTAATTCATATAATGAAAAAGCATTAATTTATGCTGTCATACTATGGCCAGGCACTGGGCTAAGTGCTAGGGATACAAAGAAAGTTCCAAACCAAAACGGTCTCTTCCCTCAAAAGGCCTGCATTCTAATGAGGGAGACAACATAGAAATGACTAAGAAATGTGCAGCATAAATGGGAGATAATCTCAGAAGGAAGGTGCTGACAATAGGGGGTGGGGGACCAAGGAAAGCTTCATGCAGGAGGTGGGTTTTGAGATGCATTTTGAAGGAAGATGAGAGGCAAAGGTGAAGAGGGACAGCATTTGTCGGCATTGGGACCAACCTTTGAAAGGGCAGAGTGGGGAAATGGAAGGGCTTGTGTAAGGGATAGCAAGAAACCCTGTGCAGCTGTAGAGCATAAGGAGAGGAAAAAAGTCCACCCCCTAGACATTTTGCATCCAACCTTATAAGTGATCCATTTTTGGCATTAATTAGAAAATGATAACCACAAAGTGCTATGTTCGTTCTTCAGACTTCTCTGATTTCACTGGGGAATATTCTTTTTTTTTTTTTGTCCCACAGAGTACTCTTCTTTTTTTTTTAATTTTTAAACATTTTTATTTAATATTTTGAGTCCCAAATCCCATCCCTCCCTTCCTTTCCCCCTCCCTGAGGTGGTAAGCAATCCAATATAATTGTAAATGTGCAATTACATACAACATTTCCATATTAATCATCTTGTATAAGAAGACGCACATAAAAGAAAAAAGTGAAAAATAGCATGCTTCAGTCTGTATTCGATCACTATCAGTTGTTTCTCTGGAGGCCAATAGTATGCTTCATCATTAATCCTTTGGGATTGTCTTGGATCATTGTATTGCTGAGAATAGCTAAGTCATTCACAATTCTTCATCGAACGATATTGCTGTCACTCCGAGCAATGTTCTTCTGGTTCTGTTCACTTCACTTTGCATCAGTTCATGTAAGTCTTTCCAGGTTTTTCTGAAGTCATCCTGCTTGTCATTTCTTACAGCACAATAATATTCCATTATAATCATATAGCACAGCTTGCTTGGCCATTCCCCAGTTGATGGGCATCCCTTTGATTCCAGTTCTTAGCCACAAAAAAGAGAGCAGCTATCAATATATAATTTTTGCCCAAACAGGTTCTTTTCCTTTTTTTTGGTTGTCTTTGGGATATAGACCTAGCAGTGGTGTTGCTGGATCAAAGTTGTGTAGCCCTTTGGGCATAGTTCCAAATTGCTCTCCGGAATGGTTGGATCAGTTGTTGACTCCACCAACACAGAGTTAGTATTCCAGTTTTCCCACAGCCCCTGCAACATCCAATAGTTTCTCTTTTTGTTGTATTGGCCACTCTGATAGATGTGGAGTGGTACCTCAGAGTTGTTTTAATTTGCATTTCTCTGACCAATAGTGATTTAGAGCATTTTTTTCCATATGACTATAGCTAGTTTTGATTTCTTTGTCTGAAAACTGCTTGCTCAGTGACTTATATTTTTATAAATTTGACTCAGTTCTCTATATATTTGAGAAATGAGGCCTTTATCAGACACTTGTTGCAAAAAAATTTCCCCCAGTTTTCTGCTTTCCTTATAATTTTGGTTATATTGGTTTTGTTTGTGCAAGAACTTTTTAATTTTATATAATCAAAATTATCTATTTTGCTCTCTGTATTTGCTTTGGTCCCAAATTCTTCCCTTATCCATAAATCTGACAGACAAACTATTCCATGCTCTCTTAATTCTTATGGCATCCCCTTTTATGTGTAAATCATGTGCCTATTTTGACCTTATCTTTTGTATACAGTGTGAGACTCTGATCTATACTTAGTTTCTGCCATACTGTTTTCCAGTTTTCCCAGCAGTTTTTGTCAAAAAATGACAAAAGCTTTTGTTCCAAAAGTTTGGATCTGTGGGTTTCTCATATCCTAGATTACTATGGTCATTTGCTATAATGTGATTTGTACCTGATCTGTTCCACTGAGCCACCACTCTGTTTCTTAGCCAGTACCAGATCGTTTTGACTGGTGACTATTCGTGCTGATCACAGGTGTCTTATCTCTTAGCAGATGATGTGGTAGCTTAACATGAACAACAACAAAAATACCACTTGGTGAGCAGGCCTCTGAAGCTGAGGCTCTCCGAACTGCCGTGGTCCTTGGAAGACACATAATCTGCTGAGGGGCGGTTTACGAAGTCTTTTCAGCGTCATAGGACTTGCTGAAGCTTCTGCAGTGCTGCTAGACCCTTAAAGGACCCAGAGTTACCCCTTTGCCACAATGAGACATTGAAACAGGGCTCAGGGGAGACATCAGTTACTAAACGTTTAAAAGTGATGTGAAAGAATGAACCTTTCAAGGAAATTGCCAAATAGGCAGGCTGGGACAATTTGATTGAATGAGGGTTGGTGAGGCTGAAATTAAAATGCTGGCACCCCCTGGTCTGGGGTTCAAACCATTTGACCACATTTCTTATTACTGATGGATCCATTTTTCCCCCCAACAAATTAAAAAAAGGAATTCCTAGTGGTTTCCATAGTATGATGAAAACAAGACAAATATTAGCAAGAAAAGGTCACTTTAGTCTCTGAGAAGTGAAGAGTTCATTATGGCTGCATCTGATGAATTGTCCTGTGCATTTCGTTTTGGGTAGTAGAAGGTCGAACTGTGCCCTTGGGTACAGAAAGGAACAAACATCCAGAATAAAGGAGGAGGGCCGGGGAGATGCAAGTTTCTAGGATGGTGCTATAAAAGCCCATAGGACTCTTTTTATTTTTAAATTTTTAAACGTTATTTTCCTTTCCAAATTCCCTCTTTCCATCCTCCTCCATGTGTCTCTTAAAGGACGTTTTTCCTTTGTTGTTTCTGAGGCAATCGTTCAAGCTCTTTGAAAGGGGGTGGCTAGTCTTCATGCTTAGTAGGTCCGTTCTTCTGCTGGAAGTGTTAGGTGGGCAAACCTCTTGAATCATCTTCAGGTGTTCTGAAAGAAGAGCAAATCCTAGTTGTTCTTGGGAGTGGATTTGGGATGGATGCAGTGGGATTTCAGAGTAATTAAAATGTATTTCAAAGGCTAATTCTTGATCGCATTTGGAACTTTAATATGCATGGTTGCAAATCATTATTTCTTTCAAATCTCCACCACTAAAGAGATGTATATAAATCAGCAACAGGAAAAATGAGACACTTTGGTTTTCTAATTTTCTGTGGAGTTTGCCACAGATGTTACTTGGTGCCACTTAAAAAATGCCTTTTGTAAATCAAAAAGTTGTTTGAAAGACCATCTACAGATATTTTGTGACTTGATAGCTTTAAAGGGAAGGAATAGGGTGAGGGGCATGAACACTGACTCTGGAAACAGAGGATCTGAGTTCAAATCCAATCTCAGATATTTACTACCTGTGGATCTTTGAGGAAATCACTTAAATTCCCCAGGTCCCAATTTCCTCATGGGATTGGACGATGTGAGTTCTAAGGCCCCTACAGCTCTGGATCTGAGACAATAATGCCTTTTATATGTCAGAGGGTTGTCAAACTAGGAATATTTTCCCTCTTTCTTCTCTTTTAAAATATTTGTAAAATATTTAAAATATTAGAGCCCTGGAAATCTTGCTTATTTTATACTGGCTGGACTAGGAATCAGGAAACCTGGGTTCTGGATCACCAGACAAAGACTTAGGATGATAACTTGTTTCACTCTGTAATCCTGGGCAAGTCACTTCTCCAAACCTCAATTTCCTCTTCCACAAAATGGGGACAATAAGAGTATCTACCCTCTAGGGCTATTGTGAAGATCAAATGAAATGATGGGTCAAATATTTTGTAAATTATAAAAGTGCTCTAGAGGAGTAGACTATTATTTCTTGATTGGAAAATTAGGAAGATTGAACTAGAAAGCTACAAGATCATAGGAACACTGATTTAGAAGGGACACTCTTTTATTTTATAGATGAAGAAAACAGACAGAGAAGTTAAGAGATTTGCTTAAAATCGCACTAATAGAAAATGTTGGAAGGAGGATTTGAACTCTTGTCCTCCACCTCTGAGTCCTATACATTTTCCACTCTATCATGCTGCTCCCCCCCCTTTTTTTCTTTTTGGTGGGACAATTGGGGTTAGCAATTTGCCCAGGGTCACACATCTAGTAAATGTCAAGTATCTGAGGTCAGATTTGAACTCAGGTCCTCCTGACTCCAAGACTGGAGCTCTAGTCACTGTGCCACCTAGCTGCCCCTGCTTTCCTGTGACATTATATGATTCTATGATGGATTGAACAAAATTATAACATAGTATTCATTTTGCTTTGCAAACCTTAGAGTGTTACTTATCACTTGTTTTTACTGTTATTTTGGGTTGCCACAATGTCAATATTCTAGGATTCTTTTTTTTGGAGGAATTCAGCTAATTTCATAATACAGTTCTTAATTAATATTTAGCTAATATAATGTATTTTTAAAATGCAATCTTACTTCCCTCTCTGTTAGAACAGTTTAGACACCAAGGAGAGCCTTGCTTAGAGCAGGAGGTGGTATCATAAAACAATTACTTTGCTAATAGAAATCTGTTTCATATCAACATTCAATATTCTAATTGCTGTCTGTCTGGGTTTCCTTAATAGGTAATAGGTCTCTCAAGTGAAGAGAAATTTGTGAATCGCGGCAATGGTTGAGTCTAGCTGCAAATGGAAATTTGGAGCTGCTCTGAAACGCCTTCTGGAATAATTGTGTTTGACTGGAATCCAATTCTTGTGAAGTCCCCAAGGTAAGATGACTTTTAACAGTGACATTGAGATGGCACTTTCTAAATACTAGAATTTGGCATATGTGAGTGTTTCTGGGGCTCTGCTCATCTTTTCTAAAGGTCTCCCTCTTATCTAGGATTCTGGGGCTTTGGGGCTCATGTTTTTTTATTTTGGGCTCTAATCTTTCGGACTCTTTTCAGTTTACAAAGAGTCGTACAGAGATATGAGTTGTAAAGACCTGGGATTCTCACTAAACAACATTCATTTTAACCTGGGGAAAGCATAACCATTTTGTGAGAGCATTTTTCCCCATTTGAAAATTGAAATCTTGTGTCAGATAAAGTCAAGGATGTCCTAGAGCCTGATTGTATTGGTTCGAGAAAACTGATTGTTAAATTTTTTTAGTGTGAGCATTTACATGTTGGAAATCAGCAAATGCTACAAATCAAGACTTGATATATTGTTTTATTGATTGTCTAAAATTAATACAGTGATGGAGAAAATGTTAATGATGCTTATTAAACTTAAAAGTGTATTGTGTGAACATTTTATTTCCCCAGAGTCTGTTCTTAAATATTTATCAGCATACAACTGGACTAGAAGGTCTAAAGGCCACAAAATAATGAATTCACATTATCCAGAATCATAGAGAGCTGGGAGAGATCTCTGCAGCTGTCTAGTCCAACCTATACCTGATAACATCGACAAGTTGTCATCCATTCTCTTCTTAGAGGTGGCCGAGGAGAGGGGACTCACCACCTCCAGAGGGAGCCCATACCATTTTGGGAGAGCTCTAGTTGTTAGCAAGTTTTTTTTCCTGCTATCTAGCCTATAATGGCCTTTTCACAACTTCTAACCACTGCTCCTGGTTGTGTACTCTGGGGCAAAGCAGAACAAATCTGATGTCTCTTCTGTATGACAGCCCTTGAAAACTTGAAGACGTTATGTTCCCAATCCATGGTTTTACCATGGTTCACCTTTAACACATACTTTTTTAAAGACAAGCTGAAAATCTTGTTTGTCTGTAGGTTCAGATAATGAAAGGGATCTCTAGTCAATGAGCAGTATGGCACCTTTCCAATAAGGTTTCTTTAACTAAATTATAGAAAGCCCAAAGAATTGCTGGTTTTAGGTCTGGCATTTGATAGTTTTACAAGTGGGGATCTCCTCTGATGCTATTTTGTACTTTTCCCCCCAAGCTAAAAATGGCTCCTTATGGATATGGTACCAGATTTCCTGAAAGGGGCCTATTGGATGTATTCTCAGAGAACCCAGACGGGTTCACCTGGAATGTGGCTCACTATCAGAGTTAGACCCAGTATGACATCTCTGCAGTGTCCTCTCGTGACTGTTTATGAACTCAGTAACTCCATGTGCTCCCATAGGCTACCTAGGGGATTGGGTGGGGGAACACATTAAAAAGCTCTAAGGCGTTTGCCAGGAGGGACCATTTGCTTGAGAGAATGTTGATTTGGTGTAAGCCGACTTGAATCCAGAATAATCCCCCTGTAGCATCTTAAAGAGATAAGGTGCCTTCACTTTGGTACCAGCTGGACTACATGGCATCTGAGGTCACTTCCAACTCTTAGATTTTGTGATTTTGTTGGTCAGTGACTTGGTTACTCCCAGTGTGAAAATTCCCTCCAAAAAGGCAGATTCCTAATGTCTATTATTTATTAGATAAGTGGTAAGGAGTTGCCTGAGGTACATAGAGTTGAAATGCTTTGGCCAAGGTCACACAACTAGTGAGCTTCAGAGCATGATTTGAGCCTAGTTCTTCCTGACTTCAAGGCCAAGGCTCTATCTACTGTCCTCCTCTGCCCTCCCAGATTTTGTGAAGCACAAAGAAAATAAGTTTTCTGGTCATTGCATTTGGGTTTTTAAAAATTTTTTTTTCCTTCAGGTAACTGAATCAGACCAACACACATGATCTCTGAAGAATTTTACTTGCTACATTGGCCATTCATAAAGTCTAAATAATTTTATGGCTACTGTCCTTGCTCAAGATATCAAATGCTGAACTTTGTCACCAAACCTGAGGGCCTGTTTAATAAAACATACATCAGTGCTTTCAGAGCTGGCCTTTCCATTCACAGGTGCTTGGCTTTGGTGGGGAGGGGTGTTCAGCATTTCCTCAGATTTTTTTTTTAATGTATGGAAACTGTATGCATTTTGATGAAACTACTTTGAAGCATGTAACTTTCTCAATTCATTGTTTAAAAAAAATCTAACCCAAATACAATTATCAGGCCATTGAATTGGATCACAGGAAAAGAGGGTTGATCTTAATACCTAAGCACAGAATTCACTTCTGAACCTTTTAATTCTAAGATGGATTTTTCAGAAATTGAGTCAGATCAGCCACAAATTAGATTTGATTGGTGTTCCTTAAAGAAAAAAGCTATCATCTCTGATGGTATTCCCTCCCCCCACAGGTATTTTTAGACTATCACTTTTTTCTGTTTTCTCCTGCCTCCCTTGTATTGTCAGTCTCATAGCCCCCTACAGTATTGCCCCTTCATTGAACTCCTTCCTTTCCTGCCTTTAGGATGAGATTCTCTGCCAAATCAGTGCTGCTGTCTCATTGGCTCCTCCTGGTCTCTGTCCTAATGGTATGCAGTAAACTGTTGTCGGCCTCTAGCCATCATCTCCGGGGACACCCAGGTAGGAGCTTTAAACTCATTATGCACTACTGAGATCAATTAATCATGCTCCTCCAACATCAGAGTCCACTTTTTAGCCACTGGTAATTGACCAAGCTGTGGATGATGTGTAATAACTGGGGCAAAAGATTGCAAAAATATCAGTGCAATATTCTGATGGGCTACGAGTTGACATTCTTGGCATTTTTCAGAATGATTTGTTTGCATTTTCTTTTCTTACATGCCTGCATTTTTACAGTCCCTTTCCCCAAGGATTCCAGAACAAAAGGCAGCCTGTTTTCATTCATTCTCCCAGAATCCAAAGTGGGTTGAGGTTATCAGTTAGTCTGTATTGAAATCCAATAGAATTGTTAAAAAATGAATGGAAAAAGCATTTTTAAGTGTTTACTGTGTGCCAAGTGCTGTAAGCCAAGCACTGAGGATACAAGAGAAAAGTTGTGAGGATAACTCAAGTGGCCATATTAATCCACAGTCAAAAATAATAATATTAATGATGGTGATGATAACAAAGCTGGAAAGAACAAAAGTGGAAAGAACAATGGCTTTCAAGTCATAGGACCTGGGTTCAAATTCCACCTCTGATATTTACTTGCCTGGGTCATGTTTGGCAGGTCACTTCATCCTCATGAGCCTCAGTTTCCCTATCTGTAAAATGAGAACATTGGGTTAGTTGATCTCTGAGGTCTGTTGCAACTTAAAATCTTTGATCCGATGAATGATGGTAACTTCACAAAGGGGCAGAGTGAGAACTAAGCAATTTGGCTAACATTACAATAAAGTTTGAAACATTTCATTTTGGCTTGAGGTAAGTAAAAACAGTTAGAACTGTCTAAAAGTGGGATGGACTGCCTTGGAGGGTTGTGGGCTTTTCATTGGGACTCTCCAATCAAAATGAGATATTCTCTCTGGGTGCATTGGAAAGAAAAACTCCTTCTGAGTATGGGTTAGATTGGATATATGGCCTCAAGGGCCAGACTCTGATAGTCTATGATTCTGAAAGGCAAGCAATCCTGATCATTTTCATGGCTGTCCGGGTTTATAATTTTGTTATTTCTGGAGTAAGGTCAACAGGCTTTGTCATCAGTGGCTCCTTTTTTTTTTTCATTCCCCTTCTTTTTCTTGCTTCCCAAGTGCGCATGTGTGCTCACACACATACATGCACACACACAAACAACATACGCCACTTTAATCACCACTTAGAGTGACCTACATTGAGAAACTCCCCAAAGATTCTTGCTTTTTCTTCCATAATTCGTGGTTGTCAGCAGACTGCCAAACAATTAATCCAGGTCCTGAGAAACTGCAATTTACAACATGGCGGTCCCAGAAATTCTTAGATCTTTGGATGAAAGACATTAGCTTGAGTCCTAAGCTGTGCTGCTGTCAACTTAAAAATTGTAATGTATAACCTGGAAAAGGCTTTCCTGTGGTTTAGGGATGCTAAACATTTTGATTCCCTGTGCAGTTGCTGTTTTTCACTACATAACACTCGAATTCGAAGGTCATAAATCATTTTGGACTCAAGTTCATTTTTTTGAAATCCTCTAAAACTCATTTTCCCCCTCGAGCTACACATTTTGATGAAGATCAAGCCAAATCATGATGGAAGTTTGAGCAAATCAGCATAAAATCAATACTATGCGGCTGTTCCAAAATGCCGACAGCCAGCAGCTTAGCCCACGATGTATCTCTAGATGACTTCCTTCTGGAAGACAAAGTGTTTTAAGTCATTAGCCTTATCTGATTAGTCCACATCGCTTTTCCTGGGTGGAGGTCGAGACGCATGCTTGTCATCAGGCAAGGGAAACATTGCAGCCAGGCAGGTTATTAACAGCAGATTTTCAGATTTCAGAGGGCTGAGCTCCAGGGACAATGTTGAAAGGTTATTAAAACTTGAAGGAAACCGAGGACAAGGCAGAGCCTTCAGTTGATTGGGGTCAAATTCTTGTTTCATTGCTTAGCCCTTTCAATGGGGAAATGTATCATTTCAGGGACAAATTTAGATGGGGATGACAGTGGTTTTGAGTAGGCATAGAACAGTAATGAAGGAGGCAGTATGGGGCTGTGGAAAGAATGAAAACTTTGGGGTCCAATGACAGGGCTACAAATCCAATCTCTGATCCTTACTAGTGAGGTGACCTTGGCCAAATCACCCCCTTCCCTCCTGGTGTCTCAGTTTCTTTATCTGCAAAATGGGGGATTTAGACTAGGTGGCCTTTGAGATCCCTCCGAGTTCTAGAGCTAGGATCCTAAGAAGCGATGAAATACCTTCCAGTTTCTCTGTAGGCAAATGCCTTATGAGAGGCCTGGATAGCCCTAGTCAAGCATTGAAGAGTGCGCTGAATAGAGGAAGGGAAGGAAACAAAGACTTCTTAAGCATCTACTAAGAGCCCAGCTCTGTGCCAAGCACTTTTCAAATATTATCTCACAACCACACTTGGAAGTAAGTGCTATTCTTATGACTATTTATGGTTGAGGAAACTGAGGCAGATAGTGATTAATCAACTTGCCCATGGTCACCCATCTAGTAAGTGACCAAATCCAGCTTTGAACTCAGGTCTTCCTGACTGCAGGTCCAGGGCTCTTTCCACTATGTCCCTTAGCTGACTCCAAAACTAATTTGATACTATAGGTTTTTTAAAAACCTGAATTTTTGGCATAGTATTCTCACTTTGTGACCTTTTTCCTGTGTGGAAGAAAAATCCCAACACCACAATCCTAATTTAAGCTCTTACTGCTTTGTAAGGTTAGTTTGTTAGGTTGTTTCAATCATGTCCGACTTTTTGTGACCCCATTTGGGGTTTTCTTAGCAAAGATACTGATGCGGTTTGCCGTTTTCTCTCTAGCTCATTTTATAGATGAGGAAACTGAAACCAATAGGGTTAAGTGACTTGCCCACAGTCACACAGCTAGGAAGTGTCTGAGGCTGGATTTGAACTCATGAAGATAACTCTTCCTGACTCCAAGGCTGGCACGCTATCCACAGTGTCACCTACCTGCCTTTATTGCTTTAAGCTTCCCTAATCCTAGCTGTGCAATTTATTACCTGGAAAACTCTTTTAATGTCTCTGAGCCTCAGTTTGCCCATCTGTAAAATGACATCATTGGACCAGAGGGGCTATAGCGTCCCTTCCAGCTTGACAGCTATGATCTAACCTCCTTCTCCTCCCACTCCTCACTCCCCTAACTCTCCAGGTTGATCCCAGGTAAGGCCCTTAGCTTAATCTTCCTAAATCGCCACTTCCCTGATCAAAACCTTCATTGGTTTCCACTGTTGACTCAATAAAATTAAAGCTCTAAGTTCTCCATTGGGCCCCAAGCTACCTCATTTCCTCCCTTAGTCTGGACTATTTGATATTCCTCTGTTTCTGAGACTTTTCAATAGACCCTCTGCCTGGAAAGTGTGTCTTTTTTTTCCTCTTCTTTCCTCTGCCCTTAAATGTATGAGCGGTGTTGGAGGCAGAGGGCCTGGATTCAAATCCTTGCTTCCTACTTTCTGTCTATACGATCTTAGCCTGTCCCTCAGGACATCAGTTTCTTCATCTCTAGAGTCAAGTATTTGGACCAGATGTCTCTGAGGTCCCTTTCAGCTCTAGAGCTTGGATCTGATGGTCCTGCAGACACATTCTTCCAGACCTAGGTCAGTTGTAAGCCCTACCATGATGCCTCCTCTTGTCACCTAGCCAGGAATATTCTTTTTCCTTGGCTCCTATGGTATTTAGTTTGTGCTTCTCATAGGGCACTCATCCCATCATGCTTTGTGTTATAGATATTTACATATCTGCCTTAGATTGGAAACTCTGTGAGGGCAGGGACCATGTTTTGTACAGCTTTGTGTCTTGTACAGTGGCAAGCCCACCACTCTACCCATAGTAAATGATTAATAAGTTTTTGTTGAAGGAATGAATAATAGCCGCATGGTGATTTTTTTTTTTAAATGGCAAAACTGCCTAGGGGTGACCAACCTAGTCATCAAAATGTTGCCCAATGTGCAAAACAGAACATTTTGTGGTACGGTTGATAGAATTCTGGACTTGGAGTCAGGAAGATCTGGGTTCAAATCCCACCTCAGAAGCTTACTAGCCGTGCAACTCTGGGCAAGTCCTGTAACCTCTCTAGGCTTAGTTCTGCCTCTGGAAAATGAGGGAGTTGGACTCAATGACCTTTTTTTAAAAAATAATAATGATAATAATAACAATAGCAACAACTAGCATTTAAAGCTCTTTAAGGTTTGCAAAATGCTTTACATGTGATCACATTTGATCCTCACACCAACCCTGGGAAATAAGTGCTATCATTATCCCCATTTTACAGATGGGGAAACTGAGGCAAACCGAGGTTAAGTGACTTGCCCAAGGTCACACAGCTAGTAGCCATCTGAGGCTGGATTTGAACTCAGGTTTTTTTGATTCTAAGTCCAGCGTTCTAGTTACTGTACCATGCTGCAGCCTTCTAAGATCCTTTCTGACCATAAATCTGTGATTGAGCTTTCATACTTTAGATAATAGCGCTAAGACTTTGGGGACAGCCTGTATATAGAACGGATGTAGAATGAAGTAAACAGAGGCAGGAAGGTCATATAACACAATGACTCAAGTAATGTAATTGAACACAAAAACGAAGCTGGATGCTAACGATCAGTCTTGGAAAGGAGGAAAGACAATGCCCTTCTTTCATTGGGGAGGATGGGACACGATAGAGAAGGTTGCACACGATGTCCTTCGTGAGACAGTGTCTGCTAATTTTGCTTAACTCTTTTTCTTTGTTTCAAGGGAAAACCCCTGAATGGGGGAGAGGTTTATTTAGAAATGATTGGGATGTATAAGCAAAAGGTAGAAATGAATGTTGAAGGAAAAAGAAACTATGTGTGTCATATGTATATATACATGCATATCTACACGTATAAATACATATAAACAATATATGTATATGTGTATAAATATATGTGTGTTTATATGTGTGTGTATGTGTGTGTGTGTATATATATATATATACATATAC